GGCGGCTCTCGGGGAGCCATTGGGAGGTTGGCCGGCTGGATGGAGCAAGCTGAACGGTCCCCTCCCCGAGCCCATGGTGGCAATGGGGCTCTGGCTGTGGAAACGCCGCAGGCAGGCATGGCCGGGCTTCACAATCTATCCCCATTCTCTTCAAATGAGGGGCGAGGGCTTCCAAAATCCAATGGCCTGTGGTCTCCTCTGCTCCAAGCACCGAGCAGCAGCTTTCCCCAGTCATTTCCTGCCCCCCTTCACTACACGCTCCAAGACGAGTTCTTTGTTCGCCAAGTGTCACCCCTTGGCCATGCGCTTGCTCCCCCCAGTGCCTTTCCAGGACAGGAGGGATGCAGAGGGATGGGGAAGGTGGGTTCAGAGTGTTTGTTCGAGGCAGTGGGAAGGCAGCATCCCAGACTGGATGTTGGCTCCTCTTCCACCCAGCTCCTCCCAGCCCAGAGGACCTCTTCTGCCATCTTCGTGCTGGGGTGAGCTCTGCCCCTTTGTGCTGCACACTGCCAGCCGGGGGCCTCCAGGGAAAGGGAGCCGCAAAAAGGCGCTGAGAGGATCGAGACGAGGCGCTGAGAGAGACTCATCTCCTTTCTCTTTCACCCTGTCCTTCCTAAAGGGTCATGCGAAACTAAGCAAGAAAGGAATATAAGGACGGAGAGGAGCGTACGCAGGCGGCTACTGGCTGTCCTTCCACGTACAGGCGGCTTCCGAGTTACTGATGGGGGCAAATGACACAAAAGGGATCCCTCCTGCCGGGGGGGTCCCGCTGGTGAAATGATCACGAGACCCATGTGCTTTCCTGGACCAAAAGGAGGAAGGGAGAAGTTGGTCAAGTGTCACCTTACTTAAAGCCACTTCCAGAAGAGCCTTGGGGTTCAAGCACCACCACCATCACAACCACCCAACGGCATCTTCCTCAAGTCCTGTAACTGCTTCCCCAACCCCTTTCTTCAGCCCTCTCCTTCCTCCTTGTGTCTCTCGCGCTCTCCTGTCTGTAGTGTGACACAGAAGTCATGAGCATTGAAAGAAACAATCATGTCGTCTGAACAGGCACGTCCTCAGGTTTGTCCCTTCCCTTCCCAGGGGGTGGCACGTGTCCCCTGGGCGGTCAGCAGATGACAGGGACCCCGTCCGTGTTGAAGATCATGCCCGTAGTGGGCTCGTAGGTCCCTGCAAGGTAGTAGAGGTCCTCACTGTCTTGGTATTTCTTCGTCTTTAGCATCTGCTCATATTGATCCAGACCAACAACAAGACACTTGTGTGAGATGGTCTGGACATCGTTTTCATCCACGTGAGAGGACTGGTAGAGGGCTCGCTGCATTACAGAAACGGAAGGAGGGAGATGGAAAGAAAAGGAGCAATTAGATCTCACATCTTCAATATGCAGGAAAAACATCCATCACAACCAGCCAGGGCTTGTGCTCACACTCCAGCAGAACTCCCCACTCATCCCCACTGCCAGCCCAGGGGAGGGACGCTGGGAATCTGCACGGGCCCACGGGCAGCGTGGACGCAATCCGTCCAGCGTACTAACCCTGAGCCCTCGCGCACTCAGCTCCCACCGATGGGAACACCGCGGCTGCTGAGCACACGGACAGGAGAATACGGAGGCTGGGAATTTGTCATCCTCACTTCAAGGATGCAAATACAAAGATGGGTGCTGGACACCAGCCCTCTGTTCCTCCCAACACCCAGCACCTGCAGCTACTCCCACCCTCCCAGAAACATCCATCTGAAGTCCTGGGCACTGCGGACTCAGCAGCTGAGGCAAAAAGCAAGAGCCAGAGAAGCTCGGGGGGCATTTCCCCAGCAGCATTTGTTACGACGTCCCCAGCATTCCCTCCCAGCCCTCCCCCAATGTCACCAACCTCCATAAAGTCCTTCCTCTGGTTGGATGCCTGCAAAGCTGTGGACAGACTCCTGCCTGATTTCTGATCCCAGCGCTGTGCCCAAGAGGAAGAGAAAAGAGAAAACAGAAATGAAAAACAGGTGAATTAGTTGTTTTTCCATGCTATCACCTCCTGCCCACTACATGTGCCTTCACAACCTCAACCCCCATCCACAGCTACTGCTAATAAATACTAAGAGCCTACTGCAAACCACACTGCACACGTGTGCAAAATCCAGGCCAGTCGTTTTTACACTGTAAAAAGACTTGATCTGGCTCTTGACACTCTTTTTGGACCAACACAGAAGTCTAGTACAATAAAACCCACCCTTCGCCTGCTCAAGGGATAAACACCAGGCTTGTCCACACCACAGGCAGCCCCCACAACAAGAAATTATGGGGCCACCCCCATTATGGTACCAGTAAAAAACTGGGTCATGGGTGTTTTCCTCATCCTTGGAAACAAAAAGGAACAAGCAGCTCTGCAGCCCTCTCGGCAAAGGAGACCAGCGTACCTTGCCTTCATTGAGTTTCTTCCCGGGGTTGGTTTCTTCTGGGTGATAAAACCATTTGACTCGGACCACCATGTTGTTCCCCCACGACTCCCACATGCTCTGGATCCGGCCAATGTAGGGCAGGTTGGGGCGGCCGGCTGAGAGGAAGACCGCACAGTCTCCGATGCGGATTATCTCCTTGCCCCGGACAATGGCCTTGTAGAAGAGCTTCCTGGCCTTCCCTTTCATTCCTCGTCTCTGCCACGAGAGGATCACACAGGTGAGCAGCCAGGGATTGCCCAGATTTTCTCCACCCACCACTGCTTGCCCTGTCCCGCATCCCACCCTACGCTGTGGGCAGAGCACAGTGTCCACAGGCATTCCCACACGAAACAGGGCAGAGGGACACGCCATGCAGGATGGCTCCCCCAGACACAGCAACGGCCAACCCCAACCTCCTGGCAAACTGGAGACCTTGGCCGGGGACACACCGTGCCAGCAGAGTTTCATCACCCCAGGAGAAGGGGAAGGGCATAGGTAAGAGGCACCACAAGGTAAACGCCAGCACAGAGCTCTATGGAGCAGTGGGAGAGGCTCTGTTTACCTGTGTGGGTTTCCCAAACCACTTCCACAGCTGCCGTGCAGGGAGGAAAGCAGCAATCTTGGGCCTGTTCTCCACCGACGGCAGTCGCTGGCGCTTGGCCAGCTCCTTGGTGGTGGGCAGGTGGATGCCCTCGCGCTTCTTGGGCCTGCTCTTGTTGCCGCTCTGCTGCGGTGCCGGCTGTTGCACCGGCTGCTGCGCCGGCTGTTTCTGGTTCTGGGGGTGTGAGGACGCACGGGATTTCCCTGCCTGCTTGGTTTGCTTGGGTGGGAGGGTTTGCTGCACCGAGGAACTTGGCTGGGCCTCAGCTACTTCGTCATCAGAACTACAGGAGGAGTCTTCATCCGTAGTGGAGGAGGAAGAAGAGCTGGAGCTTGATGAAGAAGAGGTTGATGAGGCTGAGGAAGAGGAGGAAGAGGAGGATGAAGAAGAGCTGCTGCTAGAAGAGGAAGAGGAGGAGGAGTTGGAGGAAGAGAGAGGGGTGGATGCTCTTGAGCTGGCCGAGCTGCTGTCCTGGGCTTCCCCTCGGTTCTTCTCAGCCTCCTCTTCTCCCTCTGACTCCGAGCTACTGTCACTGCTGTTGCTCTCTGACTCCTCCACGGCTGCCGGAGCTGCTGCCTTTTCTTCCTGGTCCTTTGAAGCAGTGAGGCTCTCTGCTGAGCCATCGAACTTTCCTCCAAAGCTGGCAGGGGAAGGGTCTCCCTCAGCTGCTTTGGCTCGGGAAGATTTCTGCTTGCCCTCTGCACCCACTGCAGGGGAATAGCCCAGCCCCAAGAGACTCTTGCCGTCTCTGCGACTGGCCAGGTTTGAGTCCTCCAGCATCCTCATAGCCTCTTTCATCTTCTTTGTCTTTGGAGACATCACACCCTCATGGTCCAGCTTGATCAGGATTTCGTTGTCATGCTTCCTCTGAGCCTTGACCATGGTGCCAAATTCCTGCGTCTCTTCTGCAGGCCGCCCTTTCTTCGCCTTGGCTTTCGATGCTGAAGCATCGCTGGAGCCGAAGGCCGCCAGTGTCCCCGGGAGGTCACTGTAGGGCTCCGTGCCGAGGATGCTGCCAAACACAGCAGGCTGGTAAGCGGGTTGCGGCGGGCTATGCAGCTTAGTGGAGATCTTCATTTTGCTGGCTTTTGACCGCTTTTCCTCTGCGGGGGCCGGAGAGCCTCCAGTCGGCAGCGGTTGTGATTTTCTCGACCCCTTCATGCTTGGCTTGCCCAAGCAGGCTGGCTTCTCTGGGACTGAAGAGGCAACAGGTGAAGACTCAACCTGATCCTTCTCTTCTGGCAAGGGAGCCTCTTCTGCAGAGGAGAGGAAACACAAAGGCATGATGGTATCCATGCAGATGGGCTTTATTAGCTCAATTGCAACCAGACACCAATACTGACTGGTCCCTGGCCAAGGGTGGCTTGTTCCTGACTGCTTAGGTATCCCCAAAGAGGCACAGGTCCTCACTGCTCACTGAACAGCCTTACTAAGCAGCCTGGGCTGATGCCAGTGCCTGTGAGCAGCTGATGGGCAATGCCCAGCGATGCTGCTTCAACTGCAGGGGAACCAAACTGCAGATCTCCTGCATCTTTTGCCCTACTGATGGCTGCTGAGATGCTCAGCTGAAAAAGGGGCCCTTCTCTCCAGATTCGACTGACAGAAGGAGGCTCTCGCAGCACAGGCCAGCTTCTGAGCCAGCCTCCTGCAAACTGGAGCCACAGCAGAGCGAGCTGATGCATGGATGCTCTGCACTCAAGCAGTGCATCCACTCCCCTCCAAATCTTGCCCCAAGCAACAACTCTAACTTGGGGAGAGCAGTGGGGAACTGTGAAAGGACTCTTTCAACTCCAGGTCTGGCAGTGGTGACAACCTACCAGCTTTTGCCTTGACGCTTGGCTTTCTCCCTCGCCCTTTGCCCTTTGACACAGGCTCCTCTGACCCCAGTGTAGGTCCCTCTTTTCCTTCTCCAGTGTCTTTGCTGGATTTACGGCTACGGCGCTTGGTGCTGGGCACCAAAAGGGCCGGGGAAGGCTCAGCACCTGGAACAGGTCAAAGAGATCGTCAAATGCAGTCAAATAACACATGAAGCAGAGATGCGATACAGGGAACGTATCCCTACCAATTCTGCTAGGGACTGGGCCTTTTTCCCTATGGGCTATATCCCACCCCAGCTCTGCATGTCCATAATTGATGGTGCAATCGTTGTGTTTGAAAGCCTGTGAACTCTCCCAAAATCTCAGAGGCAGGCAGCCCAAAACTCCCTACATTTCATAGTGGGAAGTGTCATGCAAAAAACCTGAACAGCAAGACTCACACTGGATCTTGTAGTCAGGTGGGAGAAGCCGAATGTGAGACAGCGGGATACGTCCTGTGTCCCCGTCATCAAACTCTACTGTGATGAGATCGCCATCTTCCTCCAGATCCAGGGCTCCTGTGAGTTGGGGGAGCAGAAGATGGTATTAGGGACAAACATCAGAATTCCCTTGTCAGGGAAATGGGGACATGGGGGAAGACAGGGATCCTGCACCAGCTCCAAAGCATCCCGTCCCCATCTTTCAAAGGCTGTGCAGGGAAAGCTCAGAAGGCTCGCTCTGCAACAGAAAGTCCTGATAATACTAAGCCAGCCCACCCAGTGTAAAATTTCCCAGTCATCAGCACTGCTCCAGAACATAACAACCATTCCAGTTTGACTTCCCACCTCTTTCCCCTATTTCTTTCTATTCTTGCAGAAATTCACTTCTTTGTTTTCACTGCAGTATCTTTTTTTTTTTGACCTGCATTTTGTAACTACTCTCAGCAATCACAAGCTGCTGCTTTTCACCTCTCCAAGAGAAATCTGTGTTCCCACCCTCTCTTCTTGCATCAGCATCACTGGTCTATAACTCATAAGTAATTCTTCCCTTATACACACGTAGTGTGACCAACAGCCCAAAAGCAAGACCTGCCATGGTAGAATTGTCCAGCGCTCATCACTGGCTTTTCAATGGGACCAGATGGGGGAGTTGTTATGTCAGAGGCAAAGCTATGAGTGTGCAGGTGATTTAGAAACCTCCACAACCTCAGAAATCTTTGGTGCCTGGAGTTACTTCTGACTTCTTGAAGTGTGCTGAATTTCTCTGATATTTTAAGCTCCTAAATCGCTCAGACCTCTTCCTATGAAAGCACATTCCCGGACCAGCAGGATGTTACTAAACCAGCATCATGACCCAGAGGAGAGGAATGGGCCAGGCTCTGACCTCCAGGACACTCATAGCAAACCTCAGGGCTTCCCCAGACAAGCCTGACATCCCTCAGGACACGTAGGACTGAGACATCCCTGGTTCACAGCGCAGAGCAGCCAGGGTAGCCTTACCTCGGACAACTGTCCCTGGGTAGAGGCAGCGGTACTGCTGGCTCCAGTAGGCTGCAATCCTTGTGCCCTCGGGCAGGAATCGCACTGAAGGTGGTTTCACGTCGATAATCTGCTCGGGGCGAGAGGAAGGCAATTACTGACATTCTTGGCACCAGCACAGACCATCCCACCACACTTGGCATGTAGCTCTGGAGAAGGCAAGGGACAGTTTCCCTGCTGGGAAATGGCCTCCTGTCTGCTCACAGGGCAGCGTGAAGGACTATCCCTGCTGGCATACAGGCCTAACGCCCACTGCCAGTGGGGGAGTTCAGCCACAGGGCAGTGACCCAGACCAAGGGGAGCTCTGCCCAGACTGGCGACGGAGGCAGGACCAGGGCATCCCTGCAGCCCCAGCTGGGGGAGGAGGAGGCTTCCAGCTAGCCTTCTCCACCCCAAAACAGGGCTCAGGCACCAAGGACAGGCACGCCTTGGCCTCACATACCGCTTCCTGCAAGAGCTGCTCCAGGCAGTAAATGTGGGGACGGTTTCCCCTCTCGCCTTCCACCACCACACGGTATCTGAAACACAAAGGCCCAGTCAGACACGGCACATGGAAGACATCACCCTTATCAGCTAACGCCTCCCTCTGAGCCCTACCACCAGTTTACTTGAGAACATTTAATGAGAGGTAATTGGATTTTCCTCAGCGCTGATAAACCAGAGTGAACTCTCCTTCCCTCCCTGCCCGACTCCATCAGTCTCTCTCCAACCAGCTCTACACAACCCCCAAATCGATCCCTGCATCAGCTATGTCCCCATTCACCGGCAGACCGGCAGAGCCCCCGTGGATACGGCAGCCCCTCCACTCACATGTCTGGTGAATGCACCGTCTTGACATGCCCAGCATAGAGCAGCTTGTCATCCATGGGGATGAGGACACGCAGACCGTCTTTCAGCTCATCCTTGTCAATTATGCAGGAGCGGGGAGCTGTGAGGTGTTGGAGCAAGATGGGGATTAGAGAGCACCATACATGAAGAAGTGACAGCAAGGGGAGAAGGAAACCTCATACTCCCAGCATCACCCTCCCCCAGGAAAAGGCCAGTAAGCCCTTTGCAGAAAGGGCTTGCTCTCTCTGGCTAGCTTCTGACAGAGGAAAATTCTGCTCTCTTGGTAGTAATAAAAAGTCCCCCCTCTTGGTAATAATAATATACCAGTAAATGAAAATAGCACAGCTCAAAGACTGGACTTCATCTAGATGTCACACTGATAAGGCTTGGGTTTGGCCATTCTGTTTTTGGCAAGCCAAATTGACTGCAAAAGTAGTATCTCCACCCCAAGGACTCAAGGACAAGGAACGTGTGAAAGCAGCAGAGTCCTCCTCTGAGCAGCCCTGGGAAAGTTGCCCAGCTCTTCTACCTGTTCAATTAGCCCTGCGGCCCCTCCTTCTGGGAAAGTTGCCCAGCTCTTCTACCTGTACAATTAGCCCCGCGGCCCCTCCTGCCCTCACCTGGTGTGGGCGGTCGCTCGACCAGCATGCTCAGTGGGATGTTCTCATCCTCTGAGAAGCTGCTGTCTTGGTTGGGTTCAAAATCCTCCTCTGCTGCCATGCTCTCCATGAGCTTGCTGACAGCTCCTCCTTTCCCTCGGTTCTGCAGGAGAGCAAGCAGCACGTCAGCTGGATGACAACAGGCAACAGTCTGATCCCATCTCACCTTCCTCCAGCAACAAATAACCTGAGGATATTGGGACAAACTTGTCTCCACCCTCAGCAATGTTAATCACACAGACAGTTAAGTGGGCGTACCCAAACTTGCTTTTTGGTTGAACAAAGACCTTTGTTTTTCTTGGTTTATCCCCAAGCATCATTGACAGCTGACCAAAAGCTATTTCACACATCCTAGCCACATCTCACTCCTGGAGGTTAGGAGAGATGTTGTGGAGCAGACAGCTGTACTTTGCTCTGCATTCACCATCTCTCTGCACAGTGTTCCTGACACCCTGTCTTCACTAAACAGGCAGCAGGCACTGTTCCTATTTTTTCTCAAAGCCCCACGATCCGTTTCTTGCTGTTACACACAGACCATAAGCATTATACTCAGAAATCCCAGAATCATAGAATAGTTTGGGTTGGAAGGGACCTTTAAAGGTCATCTAGTCCAACTCCCCTGCTATGGGCAGGGACATCTTCAACTAGATCAGGCTGCTCAGAGCCCCGTCCACCCTGACCTTGAATGTTTCCAAGGATGGGGCATCTACCATCTCTCTGGGCAACCTGTGCCAGTGTTTCGTATGAGAACATGCAGTAATGTGTGTTATGGGAGAAGACAGGCTACAGCAATGGAGCAGAAACCAGTTGTGACCTGGCTCACTCAGCGCTGAGCAAGGCAACTCCATCACCACCTCCTTGGTCCTTGCTATTCATGAAGGCTCTCCCTCCACCCCGTGGCGGCCTTAGAGAACGTGCTGCCTGCTCATTAATTTGGGGAATGAAGGCAAACGAACGCCAGATGGTAGCAGCAGGTACTACCTGATAGTCTTTCCTTGGATTTTAGGCTTCTCAAACCAGCATTTTGCCTGTAACACACCCAGAAAACTCTGCATGTCTGTTTTCCCTCCCTCACACTGCAACAGTCCAGGAAAAGAGCAGGGCTCTGGCAGCCACCCTCCAGCTCACCCAGACTAGAACCAGCCCCTCACCTCTTTTTTCACCTCCTTGGCTTTCACCTTAGCTTTGCTCTTCTTGGTGGAGCCCAGGGCATTCGCCAGGCTGACACGAACATCAGATGGGGAGCTAGGAATGCCAGGAGGAGACATGGACGAGGAGGACGAGCAGCAGGGCGTTTCTTTACCCTTCTTCCGCTGCTAAAAATAAAAAGAAAACACTCCCATCAGCAAAGAGAGGATTGGTAAAGATCTGGGCCCAGGGAGAGGGGAAAGGTGGAGCAAAGCAGGCTGTGCATTGGTAGGATGAGTTAGTTCACTGACCGCACCATGTCCTACATCTGCCAAGCTTTCAAGCTTTCTTTTGGGAAGAGCTTTTCATTACCCTGGAGAACAATTCCTGCCCATCAAACCTTCCCCCGAAGAGCTCCAAGAAGATCCCAGCTGGCCTCATGTCACAACTAACTTGTCTAACTCTCCCCACAATCAGTGCTCCTCCATAATGCTACCACGAACTGAATCGGAGCCGGAGGGAGCCGAGCTTTCAGCCAAGATGAAGAGCCAGCAACCTAGAGATCACTGCCACCACCAGCCAGGGACAGCCCTCAGAAGACACCATATAAAAGGTGAACAGACTTAAAGGCCAGTGTGGGGGCCACAGCTCAGCAAGTGGATAAGGTCGTGCAGAGACTGAAAGAGAGATTTCACAGATGTTTTAATGCAGGATTGTCCACTCTGGCAAATCCAAGCAGGATGGATTTGGGACATGGAGGGTGACACAAGCAACCTGCCCTGATCAAACACAACAGGCTTTTACTCCCTGCGAGTCAGACCCAAGCCTGACACCTCCTCCAGGTGTACGTGGGGCTGGCAGGGGTGACAAGGAGCAGCCAAACAGCACTGGGGCAACTGCTGTAACAGGACTCAACTCTCCCCTGCCCTAGCAGAGTTATTCGCCCTCCTCTCACCCTCAGCTCCCAAGGGTCCCACACCAATTCTGCCAGTGCATTCCTCACCTTGCTTAGCTCCTTCCTCTCCTTCCCCTTGCTGCCCTCCTTTTTGGGGCTCATGGGTGCCCCCTTGCCACAGCGCCCAGGCTTGGAGACAGGAGTGGAGCTGGCAGGCGCCGTAGGGGTCAGCATGGCTGAGGACGTGGTGGCGTCGTGGAGGAAGATCCGCTCGCTCCGGCGCCGGTTCCACAGGTCATCATCGCTGGCCTCTAGCCCAAACTCAAAGCTCAAGTCCTTGGGAGACTTGAATTTCTTCAGCTTGCGGCCTTTCTCAGACCCAAGCTTGGCCTTGTCAGCACTCCCAGATCCAGAGTCGAGGCTGCTGGGGGCCTGGCTTGGTGGGATGCTGCTTGCCTCCAATGGCCCCTTCTTTCCCCGCAGCAGCCCTGAAGGTGACTTCTTCCTGATCTTGATCTCACTTTCCGAGTCGGTGTATTCAAACTCTGTCCCTAGGTGCAAAGGATTTAACCATCACTCAAAGCCCTGGCTTAGCCCAGCAGGGTCACGTCCTGCTAAAAGTTTTTGGACTCCATGGGAGATGCCATGCCGGTTCAACAGAGACCTTGGTGCTCCCCTTTCTAACCCTCACATCCCTCAGATCTACACTTCCACCCTGTAAAACACTGATTTCCCTGAAAATAAGTCTCCCCTACCCCAAACCAGAGTCCACCCATTCAGGCAGTACGGGTCAGTATGTTTGCTGCCTCCATTTTCTCCCTTCTCCCACAATCAAAGCCCTGCAGGGAAGCTCATAAGACAAAATATCCTCTAACATTTGCCCCTCCATAAAAAGGAGTTCCTCAGCTGAAGCAAAACACGAACCCCACACGCTGAGCCTTCCTCCTCTCCTGGTGGGAGTTCTCTCCAGTCTCACCTTCGTTTCAGGAGAACGACCTCTTTAATGAATTGAATAAACCCAGTTTTCAAGCTTACTTTTTGCCATTGGCTGTCAGACATCACAGATCTTTTTATTGGCTCAGGTAATCACCTTAAAGTCAAGAGAGGTAAGTGATCTTTTGTCTGTGGCAAATGGAAATCCCCTCACATTGGTCTCTGCTCAGCATCATGGGCACAGCAGTACCCAGAGGCCTGAAATACTGTAGTAACACCAAGATGTTCACCACCTTCATGTGTCCCCCAGAACCTGACAAAGGAGAGCAAGACCATACATTTCCAGGGGCAGAAGGGAAACTGAGGCAGCACCTACACACCTAGCAACATGGGCAGGAGGGTAGGCAAAGCACTGTGGCTGCACAGGCACTGTGCTGTCAGAGGGATACAACAGCCAGGAGGAAACTTGCCCAAGGTCATGCAGTAAGCCTATGCTGGAACAAGAGACACACCCCAGATTTTCTAAATCCACTTACTTCCCAGGGCACTGGACCTCATGAGATGGCACAGCACTCTGAAGATGTGTAGAAACATCAGCAGAACCTGGTTCTCCCTCTCCAAAAAAGAGCATCAGCCAAAGGTCTCTCTTGTATCCTCCTCCCACCTGCTGTGGATCTGCCCTCTCTGCACTCTCATTTGCATGACTTTGCCTTCAGACCAACAAGGTCTGAAATCATGCCTCGCTTGGCAGAATCTCTTCTCAAGCACAACAGTGAACGGCCCCTGCTGTGATAACCACTGCTTGCAGAAGACCCTTGAGAAAGGACATACAGGACCGAACAACATTCACGTGGGTAAATGAAAACGTACGAGGCACAAACATGGAGAGCATCTTCTCTCAGTCCTTCTCTCTCAAATATGCTCACTTTCCTGGGTAAATTTAGTCTGCAGGAACCTGCTCTTGTCTTCTAGCCAAACTCTTCCCCTGAGACAGCCCCAGCACGAGTAGGAAAAGAGCAAGCCCGTCAAAATCAAAGCTGGCAAGGCTCAAAATCAAAAACCCATTGGAAATTACAACACCCCTTCTCCTCTCTCACTGCCGCATGAGACAATTTCTAGATGCTTCCAGTTTCAAGGAGGACAGGTTACAAGACGATAAATTCTTAACGGAGGCTGTTGGAACAAGTTGGCAAAATCCTAATATAGCATGGAAACAGTGCTAAAACAAGCCAGGCTCCCCAGGAAGACATAATTTTCTATTCTGAAGCATGCTATAAATTCCATTATCACTTAATAAATATTAATAGACAATTTATAAATGGAGCCCATATAGATCTGTCTGACCGGGAACGATGTCACCAATGGGCACTTGTGCAGCAGAGCACGGGGAGGGGAAGAAATGAAACTGCCAATTATGTGTAACACACTGAAACCGAGACAGATTCAGGGACAGAAACAGAGGGTCAGGCATTGCAAACACATGAGCAGAAGAAGGAATGCTCATTTCAAGTCTCACTGTCCAGTTTCTGTGAGGAAGCTGATGGGATAGGCTGATTGAAGGAGTTTTTCTTCTGCTTGGGTGTCTCTGCTTCTCTTGGGTATCTAAGATCAGCTGCATTTAGCACATGCTTCCTTCCCTGAAACGTAACAGCACTTCACTGCCCTCAGCACTCTGTCCAAGCGGACACAGTATCCCATCACTTGCCTTTGCAGCATGACTGTTAAGGATTTGCCAGGTAGGAAAAGATGAAACTTTGAGAAAGCCACAGGCAATTGCCCCTGGGGAAGCCCATGGCTGCAGCTGCTAAACCTGTCATACCCATGAGTGGTTCTAGTTTTCTTGCCAGGCGATTCCCCCCACCTTCAGCATCAGGACCAAGCAGCCAAAAGCAAAGAAAGGGCAAGACAGTGTCTGGGTAACAACCTGCTCTCTTACAGCACAGTTGGACCTCCTGAACCTTCTACCTTGCCCCGATGGTGCCAACCCTAACCACGCAACTCACCCATCAGGCTCTGCCGCTCCTCCTTCTTCTTCGCCTTCTGCTTGGCCTCCAGCTGGATGATGGAAAGTGGAGGGGGAACAATGGGGCTGGGCATTGCACTGGCGGCAAACCTTGCTAGAAGGCCCAGGCCACTCTCATCAAGGGCAGGTGATGAAAGCCTGTCGGTGCCGTCCGTCCCGTAGTCCTCTGCTTCCTCCTCTTCCTCTTCATCCTCCTCTTCCTCTTCCTCTGAGCTAGAATCTAGCACGCAGAAAAGAAGCAGCCCATTACAAATCTCATGGAGTTGTGCATCAGCCACATTTCCACCCCAAAGTGGTAACTCTCCTGCTGCTCTGTGCTCACGAAAGTAGCACTGAGCACCCATGAGCTGAGCCAGATGATGTTGGCCACGGACACACACATGTCTTTGCAGCCATATAGCCGATATCACCCTGCCTACCACCACCCTTGAAGGACACAGCAATACAGGGTACAGCAAAGAGGACCCACTCAAGGCGAGGGAGGGAAGAGCAGGGTGTTGGCAGCGATTTGAAAAGGACACCACGCACCCCTTCCCTGCAGCTTTCAGGAGGAATTAAAAGCTTAATTCCTTTGAAAATCCCAACCTCGGAGCTGTGGGATTCCCCTCCCGCCCACCACCTTTTCCTCCATAATGAAATCCATTAGCGTAATCAGAATCAGAGATCAGCATGGAAGGGGAATACCAGAGATCAGCCTGCGCCACGGTGGGAGGCAAGGAGGACACAGAGAGGAGAAGGGGCAGGAGGCAAAAATGCAAAGGAGGGGAGGGAAATAATAATTCGAAAGCAATGGATTTGGAATGCATAAGTGGGGAAAGTGTAGGTAGTGTTGGAGACAAGGAGGAGTGTTTAAACGCTCTGCCTCAAAACTCTCCGTGCCTTTCACTCCCCTCTCTACAGCTCAGGCTAGGGAAGCCCAGCTCAGCACAGGCAGGAACAGCTGCCCACAGCCCAAAACCTAATTCTGGCAAAGAAATAAGCCTTGCTGCCTGCCTCGGCTGACACCCGCAGAGAGCAGTAGGCTGGAGTTTTCCTTTATGGTGTGTATATACGGCAGGTATTTTGGAGGTAGATGCTCTGAGAGTGGCACCCCTCCTTTCCTGCAGCACGTCCCAAGAGTCTGTCATCAGCAAAAAGGCAATTAATTTTAACGGCATCTCATCCAGTTAGTGCTGGTGAACGAGAGTCACTACACAAATGCACATATACCACACACATACATATACACACACATATATGAGCACATAGAAATATATATATATAACTGCAAAAAGTGGGTCTGGAAAAGATATTTCATTTCTCTTGAAATTGAGGGCTTAAGTAGGATCATCATGGTTCTGGAAAATTTCCACCGCTAGCAGGAGCCCTGCTCTCCCTGCCTGAGCCCACTCGCCAGCTCCCTGCCAGCCGCTATCCCTGCATCTGAAAGCCAGCCAAATGAGAAACCAGATCCCTTCAAAATGAGCTGGAATGAACATGAAAATCCTTTTCTTTTCACGTATGCCCTCTGGGATAGATAAAAACGTCCTCAACACTTGGTTGTTCAAAAAAAAAAATTACAATAACACAAGTGTTATTTTTCCACTTTGGATTATTTTTCCATGACATTAAAAATAACAGGAATATCAGAAAACAGTGTTCTCATCCTTGCATGTTATCAACTGAAGTAATGGCCAGCTATTGTTTGTTTGGGTTTTTTTTAACAAGGAGAGTTTTTCTCCGTAGCATACATCAGATAGTCACAGAATACTAATTTCTAACTGCATAAAAATCCCTTCCCCATTTCAGTTGCTCAGGCCGGTTCCCTGTGATATAAAAATGCTAAACCTACAGTCCTGCAGTAAATACCAAGAAACCCAGAGCTCTGCTTACTCCTTGCACAAAAACCACATGCAAAAAAAAAAAAATCCACAGCAAATTAGGATCAGATTCCTTCCCCTACCAGAAGAAGGGGCACAAATGCTATTTTTCTACAATGTTTTGCCAAAAAGAAAACAAATCCAGATGAACTCGGCTATTCTGAGACGCAGAAACCACCTGCCTGAAAAGCAGGAAAACCGTGCCTGAGCGCAATGACACACCACGGGGTATTGAGACCCCCTTCACACATCCCATTTGGCTCTAAAATTCACCAATTCGCAGCAAAACCAGAAAAAAACTGAAAAAAATCAACCTCATGCCAGACCTAGAGAGCCAGCCGAGCGGAGAGCGACTTGCTGAGCAGCTGGGGAGCAAAACAGGCCAAAAAATGGGAAAGTTTGCAGGAAAATCCCTCCATGACCTGTCCCGCGCGAATCCCACGCAGCAGCCTTGGCTCAGCAGCACCGACTGCCCCAGGGCTGTGCCGAGCACGGGCAGCACCTCTCCTTTGGCACTTGAAGACTCTGCACGTGCGAGGGCACAAGGGTGCCCAGCAGCTACGGTATTTCAAATGCACCAAGGTAAAACAGATTTAAAAGCCAGGATGAAAGCAGCTATTACTCACGCTACAGAAAACGTACGATACAATAACATACCTGGCAGTTATTCTAACCTCTTTCAAATATACGGTGACACACTATGGAAAGACAACTGAAGATAGTCTCTTGTCAGCATTTTTACCAAAACACTTATATTTTTATCTGCATGAGATTCAATTTTCAGCCTGAAAATAAACACATTTTAACACATTCACAGCACAGATCTATCCTCCTCCACCTCACATGGCGAGGGCAGATCTTGCTAACTCCACTTTACATTCACAGCACAATCCCTGCTCCTGATTTTCCAAGGGACAAAAACTAACAAATGAAACAAAAAGAACACCTTTGGGGCTCTGCTCCAAAACCACATGCTTCTAAACTAAGTCCCCAAATTTATGGTCACAGTGGCAAGTAAGCTGCTGGTGCTTTATGGGCATCTGCATGGCTTCTTGGAGAGACTCATGATGCCTGCATTTAATGTGAAGCAGGAGTTTTACTCCTACTGTACGCAAATTATGTGTGGGCTTAAAATGAAGTATGCTCAGATGCCTTAACACAATTGAAGCCTCAATTTTTTCTCCTGAAAAAGTGATTTTTAGTTAACAATGGGGAAGAAGGCATTTTAAAAACCATTTTTTCCTTCAACGGTAATTCTGTTAATACTGAGCAAGGGTAAGGGAAAAAAATATTCGAAGTTAAAAAGTATCTTTTCTAATTAGCATTTTTAAGAGCATGTATATGTGTGTATATACCCACACACGCAACCACACATGTACATACAACTCTACAGCCAAAACAAACAATAAATTCATATTTAAATGCTACTGATGCCAGACAAACCGAAGCCAAAGAAGATTTTTTTCCTAAAATTTTTACCTGCATTAAATTAAAAACCAAACCCAATTAAAAATACTAAATTTTCTTATTGCTTTTAACAGCTAAGCTGCCGTGGTATTTTACTGTAGGAGAGCAGTAAATGAAGATTTGTTAATGATGAACAGAAATTGGTTACGCAATTTGGTTTTTAAAGACTGATGTAACAAGACGGATTGAGGGGGATGTGGAGAGGAAAGGCTTGGGAAGGGGGGAGTAAAAACACACACTTAAAAAAGTCATTTCACATTGTAAAAAAAATAGCATGATTTTCTCATAACACCAAGCAGGCCTACAGCATACAAAGCAGGCTAAGTACAGGCAGACTTTAGACAGCTACTGGGTCATTGACATCTGATTTGTGTGATCTGTCCAAATTCTGGAGGTTACTTATTTTTGAATGTCCAATTTAAGATTGTACTTTTTTTTTGTCAAACAAGCCAATTCTCATCATTGGAAGATTATTCCCCCCCCCCCCATATGTGCTGTGCTGCTGACTCCAGAAGTACTTACAAAAACCTAAAAATATTACAACAACTATCACATGGGAATGACTGTGTAGAGAACCGGTTATCCCTCACTGGTTTTTTTTCACTGGGATAAAATCATCCTTCAAGTCAGGGAAAGAAGGTACTCATTTCTTAATACTAATTTCTTAGTAATTTTTCAAGGAAAACAGAGTATTGAGGAGGAGGAAGAATTGGTCTTCGGCCTTGGAAAGCTCATGGTATTACCTATCTGATGGTTTTCAAAGGTCCCATGTGGCTTCGGCCCACATTAGCAGTTTCCTCCCCAAGGTCACTGGAAGAAAAACCACAAGCTTTGCCCGTTATCAGAATGGCAACGTGGTGTTTGGTCTGCAAGAAAGCAGCGTGTCCCAACCTCTTCTGTCTCAAACCAGACGAAAACAGGTCTTCCTGCAGCTACTCTTACCTCTGACATAGATATTTGCAGGGCCATGGCCAGCCAATTACCCTGATACTAGGACAGGCTGCATCGTGGCCCAGAAACCTTTAAGGACAGTGGCAGAGCCTCTGCAGGCAGCGCCGTGGCATCTCATCTTGGACCCATCTGCAAATCCTTCCCCTTACTGAGTTAAGGGCTTCTCCAAAAGAAGGTCTGCAAACAGTAAAGCATTTCTGGAGTCCTCAAACACATACACAGAAGCAAACCTTCCATGCAAGACTCTTCATGGACAGAGGAAAGTCAAAAGTGGACAGCAATCATCTTCAAAATTAAAATAACCAAGAGAATGCAAAAAGCTACGTGTCATTATTCATGGAGGTAACATCGAAACATCTGAGGCTGACAGATGACATAAAGAAAAGTTATTTTGCCTACCTACATAACAATGGTCAAGGTTCAGGTTCATGGCTAGTGACCCTCGCTGAGAAGTGTCTGCCCTACAACCAGCCAACCACTTTGCTTCTTTAGTGCAGCGTGAGAGCAAATGCAAGAGACCGACACAGACATTCAAAGCATCATGGATAGGGGCAGGGGTGAAAGGGTTGGTCAAGCAGCTGCAAGGAGAAAGCGAGCACTTCTAGAAAAGCTGAGGTTATTAATTGGTTTAGTATCAGGGAAAGCCATTAGAAACCCTATTACCCAAATATCCCTTCAAGTAATACTTCTGGGAAAGAACAACGAAAAAAAAAACATTTGCAGAAAAAAACAAAACTGTAACCGATAATCCCTCCCCGCCTCCCCCTCCACGTCCACCTCCCGACCCAGAAGGTTTTGCATCTTTGGTTTCCCCACCATTAACACCCTGGAGGGATTTACAGTGCATTTCCCCATTTGTTCCAGATTCCCCAACCTCCTCCCATATGCCCTCCCTCCCCAGACTTTATCCCATTAAACTGGGATTTTTTTTTTTTTTTTTTTT